GTAGTCTGACTATCACAATGGATAGAAATAGGAGGCATAGGACTAGGCCATAATTTGACATCCAACAACAAATTCCTAATCTACTCAGCCTCTTTCCCAATTGCCGCTAAAGCAACAAATTCTGACTCTATAGTTGAGTGAGTTATACATGTCTGTTTCTTGCTCGCCCAAGAAACAGTATCTCCACCTAGAGTGAAAACCCATCCTAAAGTGGAATGTTTATCACCCACACTTGTAATCCAACTAGCATCGGTGTATCCTTCTAATACAGCTGGATAATTATTATAGAACAAGCCTAAATTTTTTGTTCTCTTAAGATAACCAAAAACTCTAGTAATAACTTTCCAATGTTCCATATTTCGATTACTAGTGTACCTACTCAACTTGCACACAGAATAAGCAACATCAGGTCTAGTACAATGCATCGCATACATTAAAGACCCTATAGCACTCGCATATTCAAGTTGTGCTACAGCCATACCAGTATTATAATTTAATTTAATACTGGAATCAAATGGAGTACTTATGTCCTTGAAACCAAGACGTTGAAATTTATTTAACATTTTTTCAATGTAATCGCATTGGCTCAAAGAATAACCCCTACTATATTTTTTAACTTTAATACCTAAGATGATATCTACTTCACCCAAGTCTTTCATTTTAAACATGGAAGTTAGATACTTCTTAGTCTCAATAATTCCAGTCATATTTGTTCCAAAGATAAGCATATCATCAACATATAAGCACACTAAAACACCATAGTCTTTAGTGAATTTAGAATATATACACTTATCAGCACTATTGTGTGAGAAACCATTAGACAATATGACTGAATCAAATTTCTCATGCCACTGCTTAGGAGCTTGCTTAAGTCCATAAAAAGACTTAATCAATTTACATACTTTCTTTTCATTTTCAGGAAGAACAAAGCCTTCCGTTTGTTCCATGTAAATTTCCTCATTTAAGTCTCCATTCAAGAAAGCAGTCTTGACGTCCATTTGATGAACACAAAGATCATGAATGGAAGCTAGAGAAAAAAAGGATTCGAATAGAAGTTATACGAGCTACAGGAGCATACGTATCAAAATAATCTGTTCCTTCCTTTTGTCTATACCCCTTGGCCACCAATCTAGCCTTAAAAGTTTGGATAGAACCATCATAATTGTATTTCCTCCTAAAGACCCATTTACATCCAATAGGCTTGGATCCTTTCGGTAAATCAACTAACACCCAAGTATTGTTGGACATAATTGAGTACATTTCATCATTTACAGCTTCTTTCCAAAAAGAAGCATCTCTAGAAGACATAGCATCACTAAAACATTTAGGATCGTCTTCTAAATTTAATACTATGGGGTATTTATTCACCACATTATTTTCTTGGTCTCCTTCAACAAGGAAAACATTAGTAATAAAGTCTGGACCTAAGTCCTTTGACTTCCTAGCTCTAGTGCTTCTTCTCAGTTCAGTCATGTCCTTAGAATCATTTGTCTCTTTCTCATGAGAATTTACTTGAGTCTCTACAGGTTTTGAATTATTTTCAATAATTAACCCGTTGAACATTTATTCTCAAAAAATTCAACATCTCTCGATTCTACAATGACATTGGACTCTAAGTCAAGAAGCCTATAAGCTTTACTGTTTTCAGCATATCCAATGAAAACACTTTTGATGGCTCTAGGACCAAGTTTGGTTCTCTTGGGGTCCGGTACTCGGTAGTATGCCAAACACCCCCACACTTTAAAGTATGACAAGTTTGGTTTTCTACCCTTCCATATTTCATAAGGACTTATGTCATTTCTCTTGGATGGTATTCTATTACGAATATGACATGCAGTAAGCAATGATTCTCCCCAAAGATTAATTGATAGCTTTGAATTCGAAAGTATACAATTAACCATTTTTCCGAGGGAACGATTTTTCCTTTCGGCCAAACCATTTTGTTGTGGAGTGTATGGTGCCGAAACTTGATGAATGATACCATGTTCTTCACAAAATGAAGAAAATTCATTCAAGAAATATTCTCCACCTCTATCTAAAAGTAGAACTTTGATTTTCCTTTCCAATTGATTTTCTACTTCAGCCTTATATTTCTTGAACATGGTAAAAGCTTCATCTTTCGTCCTCATGAGATAAACATATAAATATCTACTGCAGTCGTCCACAAAGGTAATAAAATACCTTTTACCACCTCGAGTTAACATGCCATTGAATTCACATATATCACTATGCACCAATTCCAATAAATTCGAATTTCTTTTGACACTAGGAAATGGTTTCTTAGTTAATTTAGACTTAGCACATATTTCGCATTTATCGATGTCACCGTTGAAATTTATCAAGTCTAACTTTTTCATATTCTTTAAATAGCGAATATTTATATGTGCCAACCTACTATGCCATAAAGATAAAGACTCAACAATGTAAACAGAAGTAGAAAATTTATTATTGATACTTAGTTGATACATGCCATCATTGGCATAGCCCTTTCCAACAAGCAGCCCATTCTTCGACAAGATAACCTTGTCGGATTCAAACAAAACCCGAAACCCCCTTTTACAAAGTAAATCAATAGAAACTAGGTTCTTCCTAATTTCGGGTATGAACAACACATTAAGAAGAGTAATCTTCTTTCCATAAGTGAAGTCTATTTCCACCGTGCCTTTGCCAGCAACCTTTGCAAGAGCATTATTCGCCATCGGGACCTCTTGAACATTTGTGTCAATAGTCTCTTCAAATTGCTTGAACAAGTATTTGTCCTTGCACACATGGACTATGGCACCAGAATCTAACCACCAACCGGACTGGACAGTAGTAGAGTTGACTTCAGAAATTATTGCCATCGAATTTTAAATTCGGAAATTTTCATGTTTGACAACATGGTTGAAATCATGGCCACATAGTTTTCTTCAACTAGATTCGCATCTGCCTTCACCAGTGGAATGTTCTTGTCCTTTGACATGCTCTTGCGATGAATGCATTCCTTAGCAAAGTGTCCCTGCTTGCCACAAACAAAACAACTATCCTTTTTCTTCTTTTGTGTCTTCTTAAATTTATGCTCATTCTTTACTTTGAAGTTCTGGCTGAATTTTCGCTTTCGGTCCACAACATTTACCTTGGAGTCATACAAAACAGAATTATCACGTAAACGTGGCTCTTCCTCAATTCGAAGGTGTTTTTGTATTTGCTCCAAGGAAATGTCCTCAGACTTGTGCATCAGCCTTTTTCCATATTCTTTCCAAGTTGGAGGCAATTTTGCAATAATTGCTCCGACTTGAAAGGCTTCTGGAATTTCAATTTTGAGGGCACGAATTTTGTTGACAAGCACTTGTAATTCGTGGACTTATTCCAACAAGGGCTTAGTATCAATGAACTTGAAATCAAAATACTTTGCGATTAAATACTTATTGGTACCTTGCTCCTCCGCTTTGTACTTGAATTCCAGTGCGTTCCAAATTTCTCTGGCCGACTTCATCTCAGTGAATAAGTCATATAATCTATCAGACAGTGTATTCAAAATGTGTCCACGACATAGCAATTCGTCCTCCTCACGTTTCCTCTTTTCCTTGTTAACCCTTTCAACGGCTTCCGCACTTGGCTGTCCTCCCTCAATAGTAGGCTTCGGATCTTCAATAGGCGCCAATTTTGGATCCATAATGTAGAATATCTTCAGGGCAGTAAGTAGGAACATCATCTTGTCCCTCCAGCGAGCATGGTTGTTCCCATCGAACCGGTCCAGTTTGACCATGTCTTGGTTCATGATTTTGATTGTCTCCGACTCCATTGTTGAACAAATAATTCCTTAAAATTGTTGGAAAATTGACTTCGAAAATGGGTAGAACAATGAAGTGAGACTTTGAGGCGTGATATCACTTTCTTTAAGGAATTATTTGCTCCACGAAGTTGCTAATGGTCACCGGCAAATTTCCTCCAGGATACAACAAAGTCTCGATTGAGAATACCGAATAGCAATTTCGGTATATCTCCAGAGTCTCTCTAGGAAAACAATTAGAAAGAATGACTGCAGTTTTTTCGGAATGAAAAAGTGTCTAAAAAATCCAAATAAAGAGACTTGATATCCAACCATGTAAAAAACTGATTCACTAATCGCAGCCTTTCGAATAAAGGCGTCCCTTTATCGAAAAGATGTATAGTGAATTGGTACGAAATCAAAAGTCACGTTGAAAAAGGATAAATTAAAATTCGGAATAAAATAATAATAAAATAAGAGAATAATATTTTTTTAATCATTTTTATTAATCCGAATTTTATAAATTCTGAAAAATAATCTTTGAACAAATACAACCTTTCAACGTTGAAGGAGTTATGTCCGAAAAGACATAACCTTCCAAAGGTGAAGTAGTTATGTCCGAAGGGACACAATTCTTCCAAAGGTTGTAAGAACGCCTAATAACCGTTAGGCTAAATAATAAATTTCGAAATTAATTAATAAAAAAATAATCGCAACTCTATTACGAACAGTCATACTGTTTCAATAGGATAAAATTTATTATTTTATAATAATAAATTCGAAATTTAATAAATAAAAATAATAAACGAGGATCAGTGCTAATTATCATCCACGAGTGTGTCAAGTGCTAAGTACACCTAATAATTGCATCAAAATTGCGCAGGTATTGAGAAGTCTAGTCCACACCCCATTGTCTTCATTTTAACATTGAAGAAGACACTTACACATATAAAGTGACCCACCTTCTCAAAACTTTCCTATGTGGGACAAAGGAAAATGCACTATTTTGTTTGTTTTACAAACAAACAACCAACAATACACGCCACAGTTCTTAACAACTGATTATTTATTTTTGCAAACACCATCCACGGACTAGTAGCAATATCTTCACTCCCACTCAATGCTCAGCAATCCTCGCCATGATTTTACGGGGTTTGCACATGGCTTCCAACTGCACCCCCTTAGGCATATTAATTCCTTCTTCACTTATGCTTTTCCATTCAAAGCACTAGATCAACGATCCCAAAGCTCAATTGATCACTCGTTGGGCCATGTCTTCTCCGAGACAGGCTCGCCTCCCACGCCCAAATGGCAAGAACTTGAATTGCCCATCATCTCCATTTTCAAATCTTTCGGGTTTAAAGCTTGTCGCATCGTCCCACAAGTTCGGGTCCCTATGAATGCTCCACGCATTGATGAATACTGTGTTCTGACGAGGTACATTATAACCGCCTATGGTGCAATCCTCTGATGACATGTGTGGAACAAGAAATGGCGCTGGTGGTTTCAAACGTAGAGTTTCCGATACAATGTTTTGGAGATAAGGAAGTTTTGCAATGTCTGTTTCATCTATCAAGCATTCTTGGCCAATCACACTATCCAACTCCTCAGCAGCTCTTTTTAAAGAATTCGGATTACTCAGTAAAAACGACATTGCCCATTCCATTGTCGTAGTAGAAGTGTCGGTGCCTCCTACAACCATGACCTATAGAAGAATATATAACAAAAAGACATTATCATCAAATTGTCATACTATTATGTTGCACAATCAAATACTTGAATATGACGGTATCATCCATGTATCCCACCATGCTATCTTCTCCAAATATTAAAATTTTATAAAGTAACTGAGAAATGATAATAAAGAAAAGTATAGCTTTCCTATCATAAAATGGTAGAGTAAATGTGGACACATTAACAAAAATAATAAGATTTATTTATTATTTGTATTGACATTATATCTCGAGTTTGATCTCGCAAAGGAAACCCGATCCAAGTAGGTTTCCTAGTTTATGTGATTTCCTAATTTGAGTAAATTTCATAAAAGGCATAACTATTTCGTATCCAAATATTATACAAGAGGGGAGTTTTGGTTTTACCCCAAGGAGGGCAAGTAAGGTTTTTGCCACAACAATCAATTGTAGGCTGTGCTCGTAAATTACATCATTAAGAAATTGTGAGTGTTTCAGAGCCAATAGATCTTGTGATAAAATTCTTAAGTTCATTTGTGAGGTTGAGATATGGTTTCGCGAGTCATTGTGAGGTCTAAATACTGCGAGTTATTGAGTATAATTGAGGGTTAGGAAACTCTGAAAATAGTTGAGTGATTTGAGTATGGTTCACATCTTCATATTTATCTTGATCTATACAAGAATCTTGTGCTGCTCTCCCCATGGACCAGGTCCCACTAACCGAATCACGTAAATCCAATGTCCCATTTGTTTCCTTGTGGAAGAAAATATTTTGATTGCGGAAATATGTTATCCTTTTTCAAATGGAAACTCGTATATATGGCACCAACTTCAGTTGCAAGATTTATCACAAGATTGAAACAATCAATTATGTATTTTAAAAGACACGATGGATGATACGCCTTATGTGTACGCACTATTCCAGGATGAGGATAAGATGCAAAGATTTGTCGAAATTCTACGTACCATTGTTAGCCCTTTAATGATCTCATCAGTGTAATACTCGGGCTGCGTCTCTTGCAACGAAAGCAAATGATCCACCATAGTGTCCATACTCCTACCACCACCCTTTTTGCTACTAGCTCTGTGTTCTTCAATCAAATTTGTAAGAACTCGTTCAGCCTCTTGCTCAACCTAGACACGTTCTTCTCATAATCCCTGAAAACCAACCTCAAAATACTCAAGAAATCCCCTGGATACACACCACCGAAAGTATACTGCAAAATTTCAGATATCATCTCACGAAACGACCTAGCCTCCTCGACATTGGTCACATCTTCCCCATAATACCTCTTCCCAGTCATCATCCTTACAAACGATGTTGACTATCATCTCCAAGAACATCGATCTTAGCTCCACCTTAGTGAAGTCATCGGGAGATGATGAGGATCTTTTGTTTAGAGTAAGCAGGAGTCGCTTGATTTCATCCCGTCGAATGGGCAAAAAGGAGTTGAGATGAGTGGAGGAGAAGATTTCTAGGGTGCAGATGGGGCGGAGGTTGCGCCAGTGGTCGCCATACGAGGCCAGGGTAAGAACTGTGCTGTCGTACCCAAGGTGCTTGGTGGCGAAGCTGGTGGGGCGGTTGCAAGCACGAGATCGTTTTCAGTACAGCATTCTTTGGCGGTTTCTGCTGACGAGATGACGACGACCCGGTGGTAGCCGAAGCGGAGAGAGATGACGGGGCGTAGGATTGGCAGAGGGAGTGGAGTGTTCGGTGGAGGGGGAGTTTTATGAGGCGGAGGTGACCAAGGATAGGGATGGAAGGTGGGCTCGGCGAGAGGTTCTTGGGTTGCTTCAACCACGAAGAGAAGAGCTTGAGAGTGAGGAGGAGGAAGAAAATTAGAGAAAGGAAAGTGTAAGGTGATGAAGCCTCCATGGTTGGGGCGAACTTGATATTGGCGAAGGCTGTGGAATCCAATGATCATTGCAATTCTAGCGGAAAGCCTTAAAAAGCATGTTTCGCTCGCGGCCAAAATGACCAAGTTGAGCCCGTGGCCGAATAAAATAATCATGTTCCGCCCTGCGGGGAAAAAAGTTGATGCAATTATTGAGAGGAAATATGTAACTCATGAAGAGGACTTGCGGCTGAGATTTGAACACGTTCGCCATCAATAAAGATTCGTTCTAACCACTCTCGGGACTTGAACATTTCTCAATAATTAAAGGGTTGGTAAAAAGGGCCATTTATAGAATCGATGAAGATGTGCAGCTGGAAGAAAACATGCAGATCGAGTCGTTTTAGCTATATGTGGAACTCAGCAGCCTAGGTCTTCAGAGAAAGAGACCCAATCTTCTTTCCTCTTTGAGAATATGTAAAATATAGTACCCTTATCGTCTCTTTCCCTCTCTATTGTTGCTTTCTTTCTTTTCTGATGCATATTGACACGTGAAGGTCCCTATTATGGTGCTCTCTAACTGTAAGAAATGATTATTCCCTCTTTCTTTCCTGTTTAGTTGTCGTACGCAATAAAAGTGGGCTCCCAAATATCAAAGAGAAATCATAAAATAATCTTGACTTCCTTTGTATATATTGCAGATTCAGTGAAGGACGTGCCCCCTTTATTGTTTTGAAAAAGATACATTGCTCAAATAATAAAGATTACATATATGTCCTCGCGTGCAATATTTCTTTCTCATTTATGAATAGTGCTAAGATCTTTTATTATTCCCCTTTTATTTCCTTTGTATATATTCCTTTGACCATGCATGTGCCCAATCTTTCTTGCCTCATTTATCCGATTATACCATGGAGAAAAAATCTCCAGGTCCACCAAACTTTCACGGGCTTAGTTCAAGTAAGCTCAGAACTTTAAACCACCGCCAGTCCAATTTCTATGCTCCTAATAACTATATGCTATGTTCGACCAAAAAAAAATTATATGCTATGCAATGTAATTTTAATATTTTTGTTAGGGGCTAAAGTTTAGTCCCTAATTTTTCTAAGCAATTATTCCTAAATGGGACGCCAAAATTTAGGTGTCAACATCAACCTCATCTCCTTTTAAATTGGTGAGTTTCAAGAATGGACATTATTCACATTTGATTTTAGTTAAGTTTGCAATTAAACTCCCTTTGAAATTTCCTTTTGTAGCGCGATTTTTGTATTGCATTCATTCCATTTTATAAACTAAAGCAATCAATATCTCATTGTCACTAGTAGTTACTATGGTAATTCAATCACTAAGTTTGCTCAAATGTCAATGGATTTGACAAGCGGACGTCCAAAGGTGTTGGACAATGTATTCTGGATCGTACCATTGGAGTTGTGTCAGTCACATCTCTAAATTAAGATGCACCTTTATTCGTTAAGGCTCATCTTTTTGGACTCTTCCTCGATTTAGTGTTAAAACAAATTTGTTCTCCTACCACCTTGAGTTTGAGTTTGAGTTTGAGTTTTAGAGAAGATGTTCGAATATCAGTGTTGACTTTTCTTTGTAATCTATTAAGTGATGTTATGAGATTTGTTTTCCGAAATGATTGTTACTATGTAGAGATAGCAAGCAAAGTTCAGGTTTATTATTGGTTTGTTATTTGTATAATATCAAGCAAACCACTTCCAATTATTTTTCTTGAGGAGGCGCCAAAGGAAGACTTGGCTTTCATAAATTTAAGGGCTCGCATATGATTTTTGAGCATTTAGTCTTTATTAATTCAATTTAAAGAAGATCAACGGACTATAATACGGATCATTCACACTACCCATAAACTTTGTCCATGTGAGCCTAGAAGGTAGCACTTTTGGGCACGTCTCGTCATTGAAAGCACGAAACATTTGTCAACAGACTCTTGCTCAAAATCATAGACGGAAACACACATTACCACTGTGATGTTTGCATATCTCATGTTCATTAGGTATGGGGTATGGCCGGTGGTGGGCCACTGAATGGTGACGTGGGCGGGTCTTGAGCCTTGCTCTGTGGTAATGGGACTTCTTATCCCATTTTCAAGTTCAAACTCATCTTCATGATTATCACAATTTATGTTGATTCCAAATTTACGTACTTCCATCTTTATCAAGTATGACGTAGAGTCACAAGTTTCTTCAGCATTTTCGATGGACATCGCACTAACTTTGCAGGACAAAATTTAGAGTCGCAACCATGCTGTTGCCAAATTCACACTTTTGTGGCTATAAAAAGTCACATTCTAGACGAAACGAAAAAGGTTTTATTTTATTTAGATCAACATAGAACGAAACTTGTCTTTAAGACTTGAACCATCATCATACACGCCACAGTTCTTAACAACTGATTATTTAATTTTGCAAACACCATCCACGGACTAGTAGCAATATCTTCACTCCCACTCAATGCTCAGCAATCCTCGCCATGATTTTACGGGGTTTGCACATGGCTTCCAACTGCACCCCCTTAGGCATATTAATTCCTTCTTCACTTATGCTTTTCCATTCAAAGCACTGGATCAACGATCCCAAAGCTAAATTGATCACTCGTTGGGCCATGTCTTCTCCGAGACAGGCTCGCCTCCCACGCCCAAATGGCAAGAACTTGAATTGCCCATCATCTCCATTTTCAAATCTTTCGGGTTTAAAGCTTGTCGCATCGTCCCACAAGTTCGGGTCCCTATGAATGCTCCACGCATTGATGAATACTGTGGTCTGACGAGGTACATTATAACCGCCTATGGTGCAATCCTCTGATGACATGTGTGGAACAAGAAATGGCGCTGGTGGTTTCAAACGTAGAGTTTCCGATACAATGTTTTGGAGATAAGGAAGTTTTGCAATGTCTATTTCATCTATCAAGCATTCTTGGCCAATCACACTATCCAACTCCTCAGCAGCTCTTTTTAAAGAATTCGGATTACACAGTAAAAACGACATTGCCCATTCCATTGTCGTAGTAGAAGTGTCGGTGCCTCCTACAACCATGACCTATAGAAGAATATATAACAAAAATACATTATCATCAAATTGTCATACTACTATGTTGCACAATCAAATACTTGAATATGACGGTATCATCCATGTATCCCACCATACTATCTTCTCCAAATATTAAAATTCTATAAAGTAACTGAGAAATGATAATAAAGAAAAGTTTAGCTTTCCTATCATCAAATGGTCGAGTAAATGTGGACACATTAACAAACATAATAAGATTTGTATTAGCACTGTATCTCGAGTTTGATCTCGCAAAGAAAACCCGATCCAAGTATGTTTCCTAGTTTATGTGATTTCCTAATTTGAGTAAATTTCATAAAAGGGATAACTATTTCGGATCCAAATATTATATAAGAGAGGAGTTTTGGTTTCTACCCCAAGGAGGGCAAGTGAAGTTTTCGCCATAACAATCAATTGTAGGCCGTGCTCGTAAATTACATCATTAAGAAATTGTGAGTGTTTCAAAACCAATAGATCTTGTGATAAAATTCTTAAGTTCATTTGTGAGGTTGAGATATGGTTTCGCGAGTCATTGTGAGGTCTAAATACTGTGAGTTATTGAGTATAATTGAGGGTTAGGAAACTCTGAAAATATTTGAGTGATTTGAGTATGGTTCAAATCTTCATATTTATCTTGATCTATACAAGAATCTTGTGTTGCTCTCCCCATGGACCAGGTCCCACTAACCGAATCACGTAAATCCAATGTCCCATTTGTTTCCTTGTGGAAGAAAATATTTTGATTGCGGAAATATGTTATCCTTTTTCAAATGGAAACTCGTATATATGGCACCAACTTCAGTTGCAAGATTTATCACAAGATTGAAACAATCAATTATGTATTTTAAAAGACACGATGGATGATACGCCTTATGTGTACGCACTATTCCATGATGAGGATGAGATGCAAAGATTTGTCGAAATTCTAAGTACCATTGTTAGCCCTTTAATGATCTCATCAGTGTAATACTCGGGCTGCGTCTCTTGCAACGAAAGCAAATGATCCACCATAGTGTCCATACTCCTACCACCACCCTTTTTGCTACTAGCTCTGTGTTCTTCAATCAAATTTTGTAAGAACTCGTTCAACCTCTTGCTCAACCTAGACACGTTCTTCTCATAATCCCTGAAAACCAACCTCAAAATACTCAAGAAATCCCCTGGATACACACCACCGAAAGTATACTGCAGAATTTCAGATATCATCTCACGAAACGACCTAGCCTCCTCGACATTGGTCACATCTTCCCCATAATACCTCTTCCCAGTCATCATCCTTACAACGATGTTGACTATCATCTCCAAGAACATCGATCTTAGCTCCACCTTAGTGAAGTCACCGGGAGATGATGAGGTTCTTTTGTTTAGAGTAAGCAGTAGTCGCTTGATTTCATCCCTTCGAATGGGCAAAAAGGAGTTGAGACGGGTGGAGGAGAAGATCTCTAGGGTGCAAATGCGGCGGAGGTTGCGCCAGTGGTCGCCATACGAGGCCAGGGTAAGAACTGTGCTGTCGTACCCAAGGTGCTTGGTGGCGAAGCTGGTGGGGCGGTTGGCAAGCACGAGATCGTTTTCAGTACAGCATTCTTTGGCGGCTTCTGCTGACGAGATGACGACGACCCAGCGGGAGCCGAAGCGGAGAGAGATGACGGGGCCGTAGGATTGGGAGAGGGAGTGGAGTGTTCGGTGGAGGGGGAGTTTTATGAGGTGGAGGTGGCCAAGGATAGGGATGGAAGGCGGGCTCGGCGGGAGGTTCTTGGGTTGCTTCAACCACGAAGAGAAGAGCTTGAGAGTGAGGAGGAGGAAGAAAATTAGAGAAAGGAAAGTGTAAGGTGATGAAGCCTCCATGGTTGGGACGAACTTGATGTTGTAAAATTTGAATGGCTTCGAATCAAAGAGCAATCAAGTCGGACTTTGAGGCGTGATATCACTTTCCTTAAGGATTTATTTGCCCCACAATGTTGCTAATGGTCACC